GGGGAGTCCAGAACCTCCACTTTCAGAAGTATGGCTGCATGGGTCTCTCAGACATCTTTTGTGTTGTGTGTTGGCATATGAATGCTCTTTTCATTGTATCTTAGGTGGGAGAGTGTAAGAGAAGAGCACACTCTGCCATCATGCTGATGTTACACACCCAGTACCAGTCCTTTTCATGACAACAGCTCCTTTCATGTTTTGCTTATCTGACTTACATAGTTCTTTAGTTCTTTTTAAGTCTTACTTTTCAAAGAAGGGCTAATGGATGCTATATTCCATGAATGTTTTCCTGTTTGAGAATATCTGGCATTGCCATCATAGTTGAATGAGAATATAGCCGTGCATTCCATTTTTAGGTCACACTTTCACTGGTACCTTGTGGATGTTACTCTATTGCATTTTGATATTATGTGTTGCTGTGGTAAACCTAGAAGCTAACTTGACTTTTCCCTCCTCGTAATTGATTTCTGCCTAGATACCTGAATAACATTTTCTTTTTCCCTCACTGATAACTTAACCAAGAAACATCTTATTGTCAATAAATCCACATAAGTTTTTCCTGGAATGTAATGTCCTTTTCAAACTACAGAGTGAGTTATCCTTTTATTTCTGGAAAAGTTCATTTTTTGTATATTTGAAAACTTTTTTGGCTTGGTTCTATTTTCCAGTCATAGCTGATTTATATTTTGGTTGATTTTATCTATCTTTCCCATCTATTTTTATTTAATTAATTCAATCTATGTCTTTCTATCTTCTACTTCTTCACAATTTATTCTCAAAATGATTATCTGTTTTTTGTGGACAATTCAATCTTTAGCTCTCTGTTCTGTACAATGACTTTTCTAAAGTATTTGTTAGTTCTGTCAGCGTGTTATTTTGGTCCATTTGTTTGCCTACATCTGCTGTTTTAATATCTTTGAACTCCTGTTACATTAAATTTCTTTAAATATTATTCCATAGCCCAAATCACTTTTAATATATTTTCTTCTTTCCCATTTTTTTCAGGATAGAATCCTTACTGTATTAGTTATATATTGTTATGAAGCAAAGTACCTCAAAATGTAGCAATTAAAAACCAAAAGAATTTATTATCTCATATTTTCTGTGGGTCAGGAATCTGGGAGTGGCTTAGCTATGTGGTTGTGGCTCAGGGTCTCTCATGAGGTCAACCAGGACTGCAGTTATCTCAAGGCTCAGTGAGGCTGAAAGATATACCTCCAACCTCACTCACATGGTTTTTGGCAGACCTTAGTTCCACATACTTTTTAGATGATTTCCTTTCCTTTTTCTCATTAAGCTAAGTTTTAGGTTATATAACCAATATATATTAATTAGTAATTAATAGGTATAACTTATGTATATATATTTTAATGCATATCCTCCATCACTGTTATAGTTAGGCCAGTGTTTTAGAGATCCTACTGAGTCTCCTTTTCCCAATTTCACTGAATTTCCTTTAAAACTTTCATTTTAAAATCTAAGAGGTATGCCCTCCTGTTCCCCCATTTTGGCTATATAACAAACCCTTTTGATGGATGACAGCATTAGGTTTTCCCAAGGTCCTTGTCCTATGCAATGCAATTGTAGATGTGTAGATTTTGTTTCAGGTTTACTCAATAGCTAAAAGCGTGTGTATGCAACTTAGGTTTTATATATAGTAATGCATCATAGACATCCTTCAATATTTCTTCATATTGAAGATTATGCATATTCATTTTATAGATTCTTCATGATTTATTTAACTATTCCCTTACTGATAGACATTTAGCTTATCTCCATTTATTTGTTTTTAAATAATACGACAAGGAATTTCTCTATATTTTGCTTTACAAGGAATTTCTCTATATTTTACTTTTCAGCTTTGTGTGTATTACTATATAACGGATTCCTAGAAGTAGAAATGCTCAGTCAAATACCCTCAATATCTAAAGGTTGAAGTCATGGTAATTCCACCAGATTGGAATTCTAACAGATCATTGAGTAGACTAATTGTACTTTCTCTGCGTATTGATTGAAAATCATGGTGCCTTAATATTTGAAATTAGCTAATAAGCTCTATTTAATTCTTCCTAGCTTAACATGTCACACACTGATGGTTATTTCTTATGTATACAGACAGCCCTAAGGGGGAAGCATGTGTGCCATGTGTGAGGAACAGCAAGGAGGTCAGCATGTTAGAATGAACCAAGGGAAGGGGACAATAGTAGAGAATGAGTTCAGAGATAGGGTTTTGTGGGCTATTTTAAGGACTTTGGAGGCCCTTCTCTCCAGTATCAAATTTCTAATAAGTAGTCTACACTCATTGTCTTCACTTCCATTGCACTGTGGCTTCCATCCTGATTACACCATTGATGCCTCTAGCAAAAGTCTTCAGCTGCTTCATCACTGCCACTGCAGTGGCCTATTTCAGACGCCTTTGCCACCCTGGCTCACACTGTTGACCGTATATAAGTTAGTGTAGGGAAAAATGCCTTTGATAATTGAAAAATATATATTATTTTAATTTTATTTTTACTAACCACTCCCATCATCACAGAATTCTGTTTGCCTTTTCCTTTTTTCCTCTCCAAATTGTTTTTCTGCCTTATTGGCTGTTTCCTTTCAACTTCTTATGCCAAATACTTTACCTTTCCTCAGCGTGTAACCTAATGTTTCATTCTTGGTTTGTGTGTTGGCTGACCTTTGAAAAGTTTCACAAATGCATTCCACACTCTAAATAAGCTAATCGAAAATTCTATTTCTGGTTAGCTCTGAAAGACCTAAGAACAATGTTCATGGCTTTTAAAAATATTAAGCTTATGAAAATAGATTGTTAAGATGTTTAAATATTTGATAAATGACATTTTATTTCACACAGCTACAAATTTATGTTAATTAGAATTTCCTTCTACCTGGAATGCCTTTTATCTGCTTCAGTGGGTTAATCGATGTTCATTAGATGTGATCATAAGGTATGCTAAACTCCAAAGTATTTTCTATTTCAGCAGACTTTAAATTACATTGTACCTAATCTATATTTATTATTATATGTAATATATTATTTCTAATCCCTTGGAATTGATAAGGTATAATTGATCTGTTTTAATCAAATACCTTATAGGGAAGAACAACTCACTCCTGATAACATCAGATAACAATTTTCTCTAAGTCATAATTGCTGTTATACATTACAGGAAAATACCTGTTCATTGAGCCTAGATAAATATTTAAAAATGTAAGATTACTGCCTGAATTTAAATTTCAGTCTGTCTTTTCATTTATAGGTCTTCTATGCATTTTCCTGCTTCTCTTAGATATTACATACTTTATTTAACATTATAAGAAAGTTTACTTTTTAGTATAAAAACATATTCTTTTTTATGAGAAGTAATCATCTGTAACATTAAGTTGCTTTATTTGACTTAAACTGTTAGAGAAACTGTGACTTTGAAATGTTATTTTTCTTGAAATGTATCTCTATGAAGTATTTTTACAATACACTCATAATCCTGAGTAATACTGTATATAATAATAGTATCTGAATTTTTAAAATATGATGCAGAATCAAGTTTTCTTGTGAGATCTTGGTAACATAATTTGATTCCTCCTTTTATTTCTTCATTTTTTGATACAAGCAGGCTGTCTGTCCTTTCTTTATGTAAATCACAATATGTAATCAAAAGACTAAATCTTGGGTTAAATGCTTTAAATTCCTTCAGGATAAATTTATTACATGAATTCTAGATGTTTGTTTGTATACATAATTATGTTTCCTTCGAGATTATCCTTCAATTTACTATCAAATAAGTTTTGGTAAAAAAACTCATGTATATTCCAACATTTAATTGAAGAAAATATTTTGTGGAGGTTTGTCAAGAAAATCAGAATGAAGCTGAATTCTCCAAGGTTTAGTCTCAATGACTTGCATATGTACAATAATCACAGAAGACATTCTGCTTGCTGGTACTTACTCTAGACCTTAAAAAATACTTCCTTTTTCCAGAGTTGCATATTTCATGTAACACGGTAGTAGCTACAGAGAACATATATGGTCCAATAATCAATTTAAACAACATTTTCTAGATTTTTAATATCTTCTGTGAAACTTTTACAGACTTCCTTAGAGTCTCTTTCCAATGTTAACTCTGATGGCTTATTTAAACAACCTTCTCAACTTTTTCCTTATGACCTCTGAGCTATAGTCTAAGTGCCTTATTATATTTCTTAGATAGTATCATATTGATTTTAAGTTTATCTAGGCAAAGAGGAGGTCACTTGTGACAATCTCGAAATACCAGAAGAATATGCTAATATTTCATTAATTTTAATACAATTGCAACTACTTCATTTGGGAATCTAAGGTAGCTATCTCAATGATAGGAAAATGGCATTCTAATGTTATACATTCAACCCTAAGCAACGATTCAAAATTCAAAGACCCTGAAACTGAGATGAAAACTTTTTTTTTTAAAGATTTTATATTTTTTCTTTTTCTCCACCAAACCCCCCTTGTACATAGTTGTGTATTTTTTTTCTTAGTTGTGGGTCCTTCTAGTTGTGGCATGTGGGACACCACCTCAGTGTGCTTGATAAGAGGTGCCATGTCTGCACCCAGGATTCGAACTGGCGAAACCCTGAGCTGCCAAACTAGAGCCCGCAAACTTAACCACTCGGCCACAGGGACTGCCCTGAAAACTTTTGTTTTAAAATGAGTCCTTCTATGTCTCCCTTGTTCCATTGTTATTTGAATATAAAACATTAAGTGCCCAATGTATGCCTTTTAGTAAGTTGTTCAATTTTAAAGTGATATATGTCATTCAAAAATATATCTCTTAGATACGGGTTTAAATAATAATACATTTTACACTTACACATTTTTCACCAGGAAATTGGGCTGTCTTCACTTATAATAAGAAATATTGGGAAATATAAAGGTACAACTATTAAGAAAAGATTGAAACTCTCCTTTAGAGTCTGAAAGAATGTATGATACAAGTGATTTTGGAAAATTTTTCTTCCAGGTGGCTTAGAATCTTTGAAAAATCTTCAACGACTAATTGTGGACCACAATCAGTTAATTAGTACGAGAGGGCTTTGTGATACTCCTACCATTATACACCTGGATTGCTCATATAATCATCTTACTGAAGTCGAGGGCATTGAAAACTGTGGATTGCTCCAAATACTGAAGTTACAGGGAAATTATCTAAGTGAGGTAATTGCTTTAAATTAGTTAATTTCTGTGATTAACACAATATTTTTTTTGATAAAAATATCAACTGCACGTTTTAAAAGCAATTTTGATTAATTTTTCTTTGTTCTTTTTTGCTTATCAGCTGTATTTGATTTCTAATTTACTTTAACACTGTTATGTACCTTCCTCTAAAAAGTATTCAACATAGTAGAATATTTTATAAGGAAATCTAATTTAACATTAGTTTTTCATAATACTGAAACATAATAAATCACAACCTTTCAGTTATATTTCAGTATATAAGTGAGACCAAATTTATCTATCATGAAATTCTAATTAAAATTTGTAAAAAGTACTTTTTATTAAAAAACAAATTCTAATTATGAAGTTAATTATTGAAAGTTTTATTCATACTAAAATTCTTATAATATACTTTGATTTATGGTATGCTGTTTACCAGAAAATGTCTGTTGTTAGTTTTGGTAAGTTTTATACTTTTAAACGTGGTTAAATGACAACAATATTTTGCTTAATATAAGCTAATGGCCAAATTTAAATATAGCTTCCATCCTTGGAGAATCATGTTCTACTAAGAGAATTGCACTTGGATGATAACAGCATTTCAACTGTGGAAGCATTTTCTTCATATTGGCTCCCTTTACTACAAAACCTGACACTCTCTCAAAACAGGTAAAAATATACTTTGCTTAAGTTTAAGTGGAGTGAATGATTACTTAACATAAATGTGTGATCTTCATAACAAAGTAGAAAAGCTGTTCAGTGTTTCCGGTAATTTGATGAAGGTGCATCACAACAAATTATTACATATAGATAGAACTTTATAAAATTTAAAAAGTTAAAGTTGTGTACTGATACACTCTCAAATTTTAGTAGAATTTTAATTGTGACTTATCCTACTCATTTTATTTCTTCTCAAAGATATACTTGTAGGAATCTCTCAGGTCAGGTTTGCTTATATTTGTAAAGAATATAGTCCTTGGAAATACAGGAGGTAGTTAATTTAATTCAGAAGGATGTCTCATTCTCTCAAGTGGTACTTATTAAGTCCTGGAAGAACAATTTTGAATCTGCTCTCAACTTCCATGTCTTTTTGTAACTGTTAAGATTGATTTAAATTCGATTTCCCTAAGGATATAAAGTAACACTTTAAAAAAATACCTTGACGTTAAATTGAGATGTGTACCTGCCACAGAAGATCCATTTGAAACCACCAAACATCTGGATCTTTGCAGAGAATAACTGTCTGAAACCAAAACAGGAGCACAAGATGTGTATGTCTCCCTCCACTGATATTTCATTGAGACCTATTCACGCTAATATGATTAATTTGTTCATCAAAGGCACATGGAGTAAGGGAAAGAAACCACCTTTAACAAGAAATTCCTTCTTTAAGTTACATGGTTCCTACAAAACAAGTGAATAGGGACAATCCAAGGTTAATATATACGCCTCTTTTTTCCCCCAAAACTTAAAGTTTTCTCTCAATCTCTGCCACAATAGTGCTCATCCTTTCAGCATGTATGTCCCACATGATTTAATTTCCACGTATTAGACTATTGCACTATTTGACAAGTCAAAAACTGAATCTGTATTAAAAAATTCCCTCAAATTCTTTTAATCAGATCTAAAATATGGAAGTTGATTTGGTTTTAAAAGGACATTTATTCTAGAGCCAGCTCTAGCAGATAACACTGTTTAAGTAATTTGGGCCATCACAAACCCGTTGAATCTTTTCACAATATTTTTCGGGTAAGAAATACAATTTCAATAGAAATCCTCAGGTATGCTTCGGACATATGTAGTAAATCACTCAGTAATTGACATATCTAGCATATTTTGTAGAAATGGATCTCAAGCCACATTAATGAGCCTAATAATATTTAAAGAGATTAAATCAAGAACATGTTTTGAAAAATAATGCCTTTAAGTTTTTTGGACAATTTAAATCATCAAAGAAATATTCTACTTTTAGAAGTTAAAAGTAGTAGTAGTTAATAGATTTTTGCCCTATCAATCTGGTATGACTAAGAATTATCATAAACAAGACTATTAAAATGTTTTAGAGTTGATAACAATAATTGGGATACTTAAAGCAAATAATCCTTATTTATAATTTTGTTTGCTTTGCCTTATAACATTTGGATATTGAGGTGGTGTTTGCTATTTTGGGGGATCAAAACTGAGTAATATGTCATTACCCTTAAAAAACTCTTAAGAATAATAGAACTTAATCTTTTGAACTTAACTATATTTTAAAAAGAGGTAAAAATTTTATATAATATATACTATTTTGAATTTTTAAATAATACTGTCACTTATATTTGAATATATTTTTGTGAATCTCTCAAAGCTCTTTGCATGTGTAACCTGCTGTCATTTTTGGAAGTGTGAAGGGAGAAGGCCTGAGGGCTCCAGGGAAATGTGATTTATAGAAATGGACATAACCACAGGAAAATCATTTCCTAAAATCATAGTGAAAAGTAATTCAACCTTGGGATTTTTCACAATAGGCTAATACCATTAACTGTAGAAATTACCCATCTTACATTAAGCTTCTACATGTACATTAACTTTTTCAGAACAACACCAGGTTTGGTAAAACTTAAAGTCAGCAGATTTGGGTTTGAATTCTGAATCTACAACTTATCTGTCAGTTGGTGTTGAAGAACTCTCTTCTCCTTACCTGAGCCTCAGTTTTTTCATGTGTAAAAGGGATAGTAATACCTACGTTACCTAATTAATGGGACTTTAATGATGATCAAAAGGAAAATGTATGTCAATATATTTTGCAAACCTGAGAAGAATTTTATAAATGTGATAGTTGGATTGTGGTTGGTGTGTTTTTTAAATAGCATATATTTTTCTTTTAATTTTTGATAAATATTTTCATAGCAAGGAAGAAATTATGTGTCCATATGCTTTTTTCCCCAACAAATGAAATACATATAAAGAATGATACTTAGTACATATTGTTTGAAATACTGTTTCATCTTGACTTATGTTTTAAATTTGCATTAGGACATGTGACTGTTTTAAGTTTTTCTCAGTGGAGCTCTAATTGGAAGACTCTCTGGCTTCATAAGCCTTTCTAACTTCCAGTGAGACTCTAAGTAGGAGCAGAAAGTGGAAACTATTACCCATTGGCTGCTCATTGTACAAATCTTTTGCTTTTTGTCGTCTTTGAAATTTATATCTTTTTAATGCCCAGGGCTAATGTGACAAGGTCAAATGGTATTAGGTTTTCACTAATGTCCTTTGTCTTTCTGGTTTGAATTTTCTTGAAAAAGAATATACACAGAATGTCAGTAAAAGGAAAAGTTAGAGGTTTGAAAAAAAAGATTCTACTATTAGGTTTCTACCATCCTAATGAATAGTCATAAAGGTGAATGAATAGCCAGTTTTCTTGATTAAAATTTCCATAAAAGAAAAAGAACATGATCCTAAAAGCATGGTTATCTGAAAAGATAAAACTTCAATATTATAAAAATATTTGGCCAAACCAAACATTTTTTTTTTTACTTAGACTGATTTTTGTAAAAGCAATTTTTATTTTTAATTTTAAAACTTTACTGGTTATTTTTACTTGATGTCTTCATATAATTTATCTGCTATCTATATGTTGCCATATAACTTATTGGTTAAAAAAATGAGATGTTCTGAAAAAAGAGAAAAACTCAACTATTAATCTTTCAAAATTCTTCTAGGAGATGGGTAAAGATTTAGTATTAGAAATATATTAAAGGTACAAAACAAATAAGAATGTTCTTGTTAATAAATACATTTATTAGAATTATATTTTCACTTGAAGAACTTAAATTTCTTACTTGTAATAATGATCTACAACGTGCCTGAGTTAGAAATGTCATAAAATTAGGACTTAAATCCACTAATCACGTATTGAAAAAGTTGTAAGTTTCTTCCTTCCTTCTTTCTTTTTTTCTTTTTCAGTGTACATGTGACATTTCAGTAAATTTTACTATTAAAGAATGTGTATGCAAATAACAAAGTGTATGTATAAATGTAATGGCCAATATTTTAATACTTTTGTTACCTTGGATTTTTTCCCCCGGAAATTGTTTTTAAGAAGTGGTGTTGTATAGGTTTTGTATAAATAGTAATATTGTACTTAAGATTGGTTACGTTCAGAGAGATCTTCTTCCAGCCTCATTATTTAGTCTATTTCTTCATCAGTAGTATATTCTGTCTCTGCTAATGCAGAACAGGATAGTACAAGAGAGGAGTCAAGGTCGATACAAGGCTTAGTTTTATGCCAGAACCATGAGGCTTCCTGTTCATTATTCTGTAAGCTTCTGACCTTAGAATAATAGTAGGTTTTTTTTTTTTTTTCCCCATGGCAGGGAGTTGGTAAAAATAAAGATGTAAAAATCTCTTCCAGGACAACTGGAGGGACAGTATAAAAAACAAGAAAGTAAAAGAAGTAGAAATTAATGCATGCCTCTTTTTTCTTGGTACCAGAAGTACTCCTTTAATTGGAGCATATTTTGAACATTTATGGATTTCCAACATTTATAGGGGGGTATTAGTTCAGAAGACTTTTGTATTTGTAGTGAGAATATGTTTTATACAAAGAGATTTTTGTCTTGTTTAAAGATTTAGATAAACTCGCTTAATTTTCAATTCCAGGTAGCTAGAGTAATGTGACATTATGTTACAAAGTAAGTGTAGACTGTCTTAGTCGGAAATGCAAATTAAACTAATTTTCCCTTCATAGCTTTTGCTTCCAATGATGGGAATATTTTGGATATCATTGACACTCCTTGCTTGAATAAAGCTTCTTAGTGACAATTATATCTTAGAAAAAGATAGAAACTTTTAAAAAGTACAAAGTTCATTATTATTAGAATTTGGATATGCATGAATTAATAATGAATATTAATTTTAAATGTTAATATATTTTTGCCAAATTTAAGTCCATTCTATTGATATGAAACATTTCCTATAATTGTGTTCCTCAGATGCATATTTCAAATTTAGAAATAACCCCAGTGTAACTTTCTACTTGTAATACTTTCAATATAGTGAATAAAACATTTTTTTAATTAAAAAGCAAAACTAGTTAATCAGTTATTCTGTCAAAAAGTGAGAATAAATACATTTTATGTTTTTATTACTTAATGGCTTGTTATATGTGTGAGCCAGAAAAAAATACTCAGACAATATAAATTCTCTGTATATTTAGCCTTACACAAAGACAAAACAAAACGGTAAGAGCAGAAAATCTACTTATTTTCATTTAAAGACTGAGTACACATTGAAGTCCATGATATTTGATTGGAATTGGCAATTCCTTTCTCTTTAGAGATGCATATAAATCTTCCATTATAGAATACTTAGAATTTTAGAATTACTGCATTTTTAGTAAGTACTGTTAATAGATGTTGCTATAATTGCATTTTATTGTACAAATACAATTGTATATATAACTACATACAATTGCCTATCTTTTATAATTGTGTTCTAAAAATGTATTATTATATAGTTACATCAATAGTGTTAAGGACATTCTAATTTAAAATTTTTATATATTCTATTTTTGTTTTCAGCTTAACAAAAATCATACCACTTTTTCATTTTATTTCTTTGGAAAAACTAGATGTCAGCAACAATTGTCTCTCTGGTAAGTTTAGAATAATACATAATTTTTTTAAATAATAGGCTTTTGATTTTACTTTTTAAATATAGTAAGAAGTTGTTTTGGGTAAATGTGTTAATGGCATTCACAAATAAAATATCTATACAGTAAGATGTAAGGGAGGAAAAATTTCTCCTCTACTCTCTTAGGGTCTTAGGCCGGGCCTAAGAATTAAAATAACAATAAGACAAACATAAGAAAAGAATACAGGTTTTTAATTTTTTTTTTTAACATGTATGCGGGAATTCTCACAAGAAAAATAAAGACCTCAGGAAGCAGTTAGAATTGAACACTTATGTAGTGAGTTGGACAAAGAGTAGTAAATTGTGAAAATATGACAAGGCAAAGGAGCTTGGGCTAAGGTAATTAATTGGACGTACAAGTGACTAGGAAATAAAGGTTAGTTTAACAAGTTTGCATACATTTCTCTTGGCCTTGACTTCCTGTCCTTGAGATAAGAATGTCTTCCTGGGTCCCACCCAGTGGCATAGTGGTTAAGTTAGCGCTGTCTGCTTCAGCGGCCCGGGGTTCGCCAGTTGAGATTCCAGGCGGAACTACGCGCAGCTTGGCAAGCCATGCTGTGGCAGGCGTCCCACATATAAAATATAGGAAGATGGGCACGGATGTTAGCTCAGGGCCAATCTTCCTAAAAAAAAATGTCTTCTGGTATGTGGAGGATATCTTTAACATGGGAATTTCATCTCCTGCTTTTAAGAGGAAGAAGGAGGTCAGAGTGTTGTTCTTGCATCTGTGTTTTTTAAGCACCTTTAACTAAAACCGTCAATATGCCAGAATGGCATATTGGGGTGGCGTATTCTGAACTCCTTCAAAAGCATGATGAAATAATTCAATCAAAATTTTCTTTCCACTTTTAAAATCAGAACACTTCCATATCTTTCTGGTAGACCTGAGCAAATGTCACAATTACATTTATATTTAAAATTCATGTATCTTTTACCTATGAAATAAATAGCCTAATGAGGATGAATAAACAAACTTGTCTAACTTGTTGCCTCCTAACAGGTATAGAGTAGGCACCCATTAAAAGTTTGTTAAATTGAAGAATGATGAATTGATTTGGTTGACTAACTCCCCCCAAAATTTCCCCATCCCCATTCCCAGTCACTTCCTTCATAGAGACAACCACAGTTCTAAATTTGTCATGATAAGTTAAACTGTTCTACGTCTTTATATTAATGAGATCAAACAATACGTTCTCTTTTAGCTTTCTTTACTCAGCATTCATGTGACATTCCACCATATCAGTAGGGTTTTTTTTCTGAAGTGTAGTCTATTTCATGAATATATCACAATTTGTACATTCTCCTGTTGATTGATATTTTAATTGTTTGCAATTTTGAGCTACTATCATTATAAAGTTCCTATAGAAATTTCTGGTACAAATCCTTTTGTGGACCTATGTTTTCAGTTCTCTTGGGTAAATATATAAGAGTATAATTGCTGGATAATAGAGTAGGTCTATGCTTAACTTTATAAAAAACTGAAAAAACTGGTTTCCAAAATGCTCATAATGTTTTACATCTGCACTAGCAATGTAGGAGAGTTCTGATTGCTCCGTTCTAGAGGGTGTTTAGTGTTTCATTGTGTTATCTCATAATGATTTTAGTTTGATTTCCCTGGTGAATAATAATATTAAGCCTCTTTGCATGATTTATTGATGATTTCTGCATATTCTTTTGTGTCTGTTCAAGTGTCTTAACCATTTTTAAAATTTAGTTGTCTTTTTCTTATTTATTTGTATAAATTCTTTATATATTCTGGATGAAATTCTTTGGCAGATATGCTTTGTAAATATTTTCTCCCAGTCCCTCTTTTATCTATTAATTGTATTAATGGCATCCAGATGAGCAGAAGTTTTCAATTTTGATGAAACTTAATTTATCATTTTTTAATAGTTACTGTTCTGTGTGTCCTTTGTAATGTTTTTCTACCTCCAGATTGAGAACAGGATTTTCTCTTGCTTTCTTATAGAAGTTTTGTACTTTTAGGTCTGTGCTCTGTCTCAAATCAATTTTTTGAATGGTGTGAAGGGATGAGTTCAGTTTTTGATAGGGATATCCAGTTGTTCAGCAACATTTGTTGAACAAGCTTTTATCATCATTGAATTACTTTGGTGTCTTTGTCAAAAAATTGATTTACATTTGGCTCACTTTGGGATGTGTTTCTATTAACTGCTTTTCTCTTAATGATAAGATCATATTTTTCTATTTTTTATATGTCTAGTAATTTGTAACTATATGTTGAACCTTATACAGAATACAGTTTACTGAGTCTGGACATTGTTGTCTTCCTTTTAAAGGGTGTTAAGTTTACTTCTGGCAGGCAGTTGGATGGATAATTGATGAATAATTTTGTTTCTGTCAGCCTTAATTTCATTCTCTCCTAAGACAAGTCATTTTAGTTTTCAAGTCTTAGTGCATGCCCCTACCCCAGGGCATTGCTTTCACTCCTAATGCATAGTCTTTCTGGATTTTAGCTCAATCTCTGAGATGCTCAATTAGATCTTATTCTGGCTGGGATGAAACTCCAATGTCTTTCACTGCTGCATGACCTTTAGTGTCATTATTCAGCCTTAGCCCTACAGCAGGGATCTCTGCTAGGCTTTTCAGATTCTTGCCCTGCTGGTGTAACACCTAGCACTTATTCAAGGACCCGCAGGGAATCCTCACATAAACTTCTTCTGCCAACTCTCCCCGCCCCCGACATATACACACACAGCTTCTTCTCAATACTTTTTGCCATAAATTCCAGCTTCAGTTCTAATCTTTGCCTCCTCACTCAGCAAAAACACTTGGGTCTCCACGTTCCCGCTCTGAAGTGATAAATTGCTCTCAGGCAGAAAGCCATTGTGATTGGAGGTTTACCATGTGTGTTTCTTTTATCTCAGTCAGGCTTATAAATAGGTACTTCCTATACATTGTCCATTTTTATGATTGTTTTCTGTGGGAGGGCAATTCCAGTATAAATTCATCTGTAATGTACCTTAGATTGACCTACTATTTTAACTTTTAAAGGTATAACAGATCCATGTAATTCTATTTAGGGATATGTTCAATTATACTACTATTCTATTACTTTAGATTTCACTTTTTCAGATTTTGTGCTTATAATCTGGCATGAACTGTTCTAAGCCCTTTATACACATTATCTCATTTAATTTTCACCCTGCGAGATAGATATGAACCTCAATCGTAAAGCAGCTGTATGATTTGCATAAGTTCACACAGCTGCTATATCCTAGAAATAAATATTCTGACAGCAGAGTTGGTGTTTTTAATACAGTCTCCTTTTAATAGCATATCATATTCTGCAGAATAAATAACTTTTGTTCCTTTTTTTTAATATCTAACCAATAAATAAAATGGTCACTGACATTATTTTTCTTTATCTGTGATACCTTTCATAGTGATTTTTATTGTTTACTTTCTGTAGATCTTACAAGTACCATAAAGTGGTTTGATGCGTGCTATTCTCTCCGTGAATTATCTCTCACTGGAAACCCACTTCTTCAGGAGATAAACTCGAGGTAAAGAAATATTGTTGTACCATATGTGCATACTTTATTATAGTTGCAGAAAACAATTTTTTTCCATTTTATTTATTTATATATTTTTAATTTTAATTTTTGTTTTTATAGCAGTAATATTAGATTATAACCTTATATAACTTTCAGATGTACGTCATAATATATTTCCAATCTGTGTAGATTACATCATGTCCACCACCCACAGACTAATCATAATCCACCACCACACATGTGTGCCTAATCACCCCTTTTGCCCTCCTCCCTCCCCACTTCCCCTCTGGTAACCACCAGTCTAATCTCTGTTGCTATGTGTTTGTTTGTCATTGTTTTTATCTTCTGCTTATGAGTGAGATCATATGGTATTTGACTTTCTCCCTCTGACTTGTTTCACTCAGCATAATTCCCTCAAGGTCTATCCATGTTGTTACAAGTGGCTGGATTTCATCCTGTCTTATGGCTGAGTAGTATTCCATTGTGTATATATACCACATCTTCTTTATCCATTCATCCCTTGATGGGCACCTAGGTTGCTTCCAAGTCTTGGCTATTGTGGATAATGCTGCAATAAACATAGGGGTGCATATATCTTTATGCATTTGTGTTTTCAAGTTCTTTGCATAAATACCCAGCGGTGGAATAGCTGGATCACATGGTAGATCTATTCTTAATTTCTGAGGATGCTCCATATAGCTTTCCATAGCAGCTACACCAGTTTGCACTGCCACCAGCAGTGAACAAGTGTTCCCTTCTCCCCACATCCTCTCCAACACTTGTTGTTTCCTGTCTTGTTAATTATAGCCATTCTGATTGGAGAGAGGTGATACCTCATTGTAGTTTTGATTTGCATTTCCCTGATAGTTAATGATGTTGAACATGTTTTCATGTAACTGTTGGCCATCCATATATCTTCTTTGGAGAAGTCTCTGTTCAGATCTTTTGCTCATTTTTTAATTGGGTTGTTGGTTGTTTTTGTTGTTGAGACTTATGAGTTCTTTGTATATTTTGGTTATTAATCCCTTATCTGATATAGGGTTTGCAAATATCTTCTCCCAATTGTTAGGTTGTCTTTTTGTTTTGTTGATGGTTTCCTTTGCTGTGCAGAAGCTTTTTAGTTTGATGTAGTACCATTCGTATATTTTTTCTTTTGTTTCCCTTGCCTGGTCAGACATGGTACTTGAAAATATGCTGCTAAGACCTATGTCAAAAGCATTCTGCCTATGTTTTCTTCTAGAAGTTTAATGGTTTCGGGTGTTACACTCAAGTCTTTAATCCATTTTGAGTTGTTTTTTGTGCACGGTGTAAGATGATGGTCTACTTTCTTTCTTTTGCATGTGGCTGTCCAGTTTTCCCAACACCATTTATTGAAGAGACTCCCCTTTCTCCATCGTATGCTCTTGGCTCCCTTGGCGAATATTAGCTGTCCATAAATGTGTGGGTTTATTTCTGGGCTCTCGATTCTGTTCCATTGATCTATGTGTCTATATTTGTGCGAGTACCATGATATTTTGGTTACTGTGTCTTTGTAGTATATTTTGAAATCAGGGAGTGTGATACCTCCAGCTTTGTTCTCTTCCCTCAGGATTCCTTTGGCTATTTGCAGTCATTATTGTTCCATATAAATTTTAGGATTCTTTGTTCTATATCTGTGAAAAATGTTGTTGGAACTTTGATAGGGATTGCATTGAATCTATAGATTGCTTTAGGAAGTATGGATATTTTAACTATGTTAGTTCTTCCCATCCAAGAGTACGGAATATCTTTCCATTTCTTTGTGTCTTCTTCAATTTCTTTCAACAATGTTTTATAGTTTTCAGTGTACAGATCTTTCACCTCTTTCATTAAGTTTATTCCTAGGTATTTTATTCTTTTTGTTGCACTTGTAAATGGGATTGTATTCTTAATTTCTCTTTCTGCTACTTTGTTATTAGTGTATAGAAACACAACTGATTTTTGTATGTTGGTTTTATATCCTGCAACTTGACTGTATTCATTTATTATTTCTAAAAGTTTTCTAGTGGATTCTCTAGGGTTTTCTACATACAAAGTCATATCATCTGCAAATAGTGACAGTTTCATTTCATCTTTTCCAATTTGGATCCATTTTATTTCTTTTTCATGCCTGATTACTCTGGCTAGGACTTCCAATACTATGTTAAATAAGAGTGGTGAAAGTGGGCATCCTTGTCTGGTTCCTGTTCTTAGAGGGATAGCTTTCAGTTTTTCTCCATTGAGAATGATATTTGCTGTGGGTTTGTCATATGTGGCCTTTATTATCTTGAGGTATTTTCCTTCTATACCCATTTTATTTAGAGTTTTCATCATAAATGAATGCTGCATCTTGTCAAATGCTTTCTCTGCATCTATTGAGATGCTCACGTGATTTTTATTCTTCATTTTGTTAATGTGGTGTTTCATGTTGATAGATTTGTGGATGTTGAACCATCCCTGCATCCCTGTAATGAAACCCACTTGATCATGATGTATGATCTTTTAATGTATTGTTGTATGCAATTTGCTAGTATTTTGTTGAGGATTTTGCATCGATGTTCATAAGTGATGTTGGCCTGCAATTTTCTTTTTTTGTGTTGTCCTTGTCTGGTTTTGGTATCAGGATAATGTTGGCTTCATAGAATGAGTTAGGAAGGCTGCCCTCCTCTTCAGTTTTTTGGAAGAGTTTGAGAAGGATAGGTATTACATCTTCTTTGAATGTTTGGTAGAATTCTCCAGGGAAGCCATCTGGTCCTGGACATTTATTTTTTGGGAGGTTTTTGATTACTGTTTTGATCGCCTTACTGGTGATTGGTCTATTCAAATTATCTGCTTCTTATTGATCAAGTTTTGGAAGGTTGTATTATTCTGAGAATTTATCCATTTCTTCTAGATTATCCAATTTGTTGGCATATAGCTTTTCATAGTATTCTCTTATAATCTTTTGTATTTCTGAGGTGTCTGTTGTCGTTTCTCCTCTTTCCTTTCTGATTGTATTATTTGAGACTTCTTTCTTTTTTTCTTGGTGAGTCTAGCTAAAGGTTTGTCAATTTTGTTTACCTTTTCAAAGAACCAGCTCTTAGTTTCATTAATTTTTCTATTGTTTTTTTAGTCTTTATTTCATTTACTTCTGCTCTGATTTTTATTATTTCCTTCCTTCTGCTAATTTTGGGCTTTGTTTATTCTTCTTTTTCCAGTTCCTTTAGGTGCACTGTTAGATTTTTTATTTGGGATTTTTCTTGTTTGTTGTGATAGGCCTGAATTGCTATAAACTTTCCTCTTAGAACTGCTTTTGCTGTATCCCATAGATTTTGGCATGTCATATTTTCATTTTCATTTGTCTCTAGGTATTTTTTTGTTTCTCCTTTGATTTCTTTTTTGACCCAATCATTGTTCAGTAGCATTTTGTTCAATCTCCACATTTTTGCGGCTTTTCTCATTTTCTTCCTGTAGTTGATTTCTAGTTTCATACCTTTGTGGTTAGAAAAGATGCTTGGTGTTATTTCGATCTTCTTAAGCTTATTGAGACTTGTTTTGTGGCCTAATATGTGATCAGTCCTGGAGAATGTTCCATGTGAATTTGAAAAGAATGTGTATTCTGTCGTTTTTTGGTGGAATGTTCTATATATATCTACTAGTCCATCTCATCTAATGTGTTGTTTAAGGCCAGTGTTTCCTCATTGATCTGTTTAGATGAATCTGTCCATTGGTGTAAGTGGAATGTTAAAATTCCCTACTATTATTGTGTTACTGTCTATTTCTCCTTTTATGTCTGTTAGTAATTGCTTTATATATTTAGGTGCTCGTATGTTGGGTGTGTAGATATTTATAAGTGTTATATCCTCTTGTTGGATTGTTCCTTTTATTGTTCTGTAGAGTCCTTCTTTGTCTCTTGTTACAGTTTTTGTTTTAAAGTCTATTTTGTCTGATATAAGTATTGCTACCCCCACTTGCTTTTCTTTGTCATTTGCATGGAATATCTTTTTCCATCCTTTCACTTTCGGTTTGTGAGTATCTTTAGGTCTGAAGTGTGTCTCTTGTATACAGCATATATATGCATCTTGTTTTTTTATCCATTTGGCCACCCTATGGCATTTGATTGGAGCATTTAGTCCATTGACATTTAAAGTAGCTATTGATAAAAGTGTATTTATTGCCATTTTGTTACTTTTTTTTTCTGGGTGTCTTAGTAGTTCTTCTTTGTTCCTTTCTTCTTCACTTGCTCTCTTCCCTTGTGGTTTGATGGCTTCCTTTAGTAATATGCTTGATTTCCTTCTTCTTACTTCTTTGTTTACATATTATAGTTTCTGGTTTGTGATTACCATGAATTTCCTATATAATATTCTACATATATAGCAATATTTATTGAGTTGATAGTCTCTTTAGCTTGACCTCTTTCTAAAAGTTCTACTCTTTTAATCCCCTCCTCCCACATTTTATGTTTTTGAAATCATATTTAATCTTTTGTTTTGTGTGTGTCTATCCATTACCCTCTTATTGTAATAGGTAATTTTAGTCCCTTTGTCTTTCAACCTATATATCATCTTCATAGGTGGTTGATCTGCTACCTTTACTATATTTTTGCCTTTACCAGTGATTTTATTGCCTATTTTTTTGTTTTTGTTTTTTTTGATAATTTTCTTATCCCTATTTGTGGTCTTCTCTTTCCCACTTAAATAATAAGTCCCTTCAGTATTTCTTGTAGAACTGGTTTCTTGGTGATAAGCTCCTTTAATTTTTGCTTGTCTTGGAAGCTCTGTATCTCTCCTTCCATTCTGAAAGATAACCTTGCTGGATAGAGTATTCTTGGCTGTAGGTTTTTTCCTCTCAGCACTTTATATGTCCACACCACTGTCTTCTAGCCTGTAGGGTTTTGGCTGAGAAGTCCACTGATAGCTATATGGACTTTCGTTTATATGTCACTTGTTGCCTTTCTCTTGCTTCTTTTAGGATTCTCTGTTTATCTTTAATTTTGGACATTTTAATTATAATGTATCTTGGTGTTGGGCTCT